ATTTATAAATTAAATGAGAGTTTCTAAAATCAAACAGATGAAAGCTAATAGATGCATTTCTTTTCTTCTTTTTTTTTTGCAAAGCCACATCAGTTTGTTTTCCTTTTTGGAAATCATAAACTTGGAGGCAAGGTCAAATGATCTGCTGTAGATGTGAACAGGAATGTCCTGTGGAAAGCGAAGAGGTGGTCCTTTTCACTATTTAACACTATTCCAAAGGTATCTTTACCTGTAGATGCCGCAGCCCTGCCTAACCTCATTGTAGTGTTCCCCAAATACTGCAGGTTGAAGTGGCTTTTGTTCCTTATTTGTCAGTTTCTCTGTGTTGATCAGTTTCACACACATCTTCCCAATAAAAAACTTGTTTATCCGTTAGTCACTTTTACTCTACAGGCCTCCCTTGCTCTTCTCTGGAGCCAACTATGCTGTCTTTTGGTATGTTTCACATAATTTTAATTTGGGACATGTCCAAATAGGGTGTTGGAGAACAGGCACACAAACTAGGCTGGGGAATTCTGGGAGTTGAAGTCCACACATCTTCGAGTTGCCAAAGATGAGAACATTAATCTAGGACAGGGGTAGGCAACCTTGGCTCTTTTATGACTCGTGGACTTCAACTCCCAGAATTCCTGAGCCAGCATGGCTCAGCTTGGAAACCTCTCCCTGTCCCCTCAGTATGGCTGGCTCAGGAATTCTGGGAGTTGAAGTCCAGGAGTCATAAAAGAGCCAAGGTTGCCTACCTCTGATCTAGGAGAACAACTTTTTGAAAACCAGTTTTGTGTCTTAACCGGGTATATATATTGTAGCATTCTTCTTTCCCATTAAAACCAAGAAGCTCTTTATTCTTGTCCGGCCTTCAGGAATGAGGCTCCTGAGAGTATAGGTAGCCCATTCATTTAGCAATGATTTGAAATTAACAGCGGCAAGTGATTTACGACCTGCCCTCGATTACGACCATAGGAGCACCCCTCCCCATCACAACTGGCAACTGGCATGTATTTATGACGGTTGCAGCATCCCAGGTTCACATGATTGCCATTTGTGACTTTTCCAGCACAGTTTCCGACAAGCAAAGTCAATGGGGTAAGCTGGATTGGCTTAATGACTGTGTGACTCATTTAACAATAGTGGTGATCTGCAAACCTGGCAAAAAAAAAATTGTAAAATCAGGCATGACTTAATAATTTGATGCTTAACAACAAAAATCCTGCTGGTTATGGTCGTAAGTCGAGGTTTGCCTGTGACTATTCCTTGAATTGCCTTGTGCCTTCAATTTATGGCACAAAGGTTTCCGACTACAAGTAATCCTCAATTTACAACCACAACTGAGCCCAAAATTTCTGTAGCTAAGTGAAACATTTGTTAAGTGAATTTTGCCCCATTTTACGACCTTTCTTGCCACAGTTGTTAAGTGAATCACTGCAGTTGTTAGGAACACGGTTGTTAAGTGAATCTGGCTTCTCCATTGATTTTGCTTACAAGAAAGTTGCAAAAGTGGATCACATGATCCTGGGATGCTGCAACTGTCATAAATATGAGTCAATTGCCCAGCATCTGAATTTTGATCAACTGACCTTGGGGTTGCTGCAATGGTCGTGTGAAAAACGGTCATAAGCAGTGGTGGGATTCAAATATGTGAACAACCAGTTCTCTGTGTGGATGCCGCTTCCGGAAGTCCATTCTGGGCCTGGGTAACAAAAAATTAGCTACCGGTTCTGCCAAAGTGGTGCAAACCGGCTGAATCCCACCCCTGGTCATAAGTCACTTTTTTCAGTGCCGTTGTAACTTTGAACGGTCACTAAATGAACTGTTGTAAGTCGAGGACTACCTGTACACAATTACTACAACTGAAGCCTTATAAGTAAACATATTCATAAGGAAAACAAGACAGCAGGAATTTACGCATTTCCCTTGTAGCTGCACAGTGGATAGAGCTGAGCACAGATCCAAAGGGCAAAATATAATTTGAAGCACAGGTGGGAGTGATTGTTACACCTGCCAGGAGCATCTTAAACCAAATGGATCTTTTCCTGAAGTTATGAAGCCAAGGGATCCCAGAAGATCAAGCAATGGGGATAGAATGCGATCCATCTGAGATCTCACCAGATTGTTACACAGCCTCCTGGACAGTGAGTTCTAAATTGCTTTTATATTTTGCACTAGGCCTCTTGGGCAGTTGATTTAAGAAGTTTTCATTGACATTTTTCCTTCCTGTAAACTTTCACCCATTAACGTGGTTCAAGTGGAAATATTGAAAAGGGAGTAGTAGTGCACTAAAAAGGATATAAAACTTTATTAATCTACAGGCTTTGAAAATCAAGTCATGGCCTGCTCTAAGAAAGTGAGCCAAAGTAGATCAAAGAATTTTAAAAGTGGGTGAGGCAAGAATACTATTACACAACTATCAGTGCGGTTGGGTAAGTAATATGTAAGCAAACCAATCTCTGCCCTTGTTTAAATCAATCTGTCCTGTTACACCATCGTGTCATTGATAGTAGCATACCTGTAGGAGTTTAATATTTAGAAACTACCTGTTAAATGAACACAGTTGTGTTTTATTAAAGTGCATTTAAAATTTAAATATCTGAACCCTGTTTTATATGAATCTCCCTTCTCTGACACCTTGACTTAACCCATCCCTCATTTAAAACTGGACAAACATAGGGTCTTAAAAAAAAGACCCACACTTGGGTAAGGCCACACTTGGAATACTGCATCCAGTTTTGGTCACCATGATGTAAAAAAGATGTTGAGACTCTAGAAAGAGTACAGAGAAGAGCAACAAAGATGATTAGGGGACTGGAGGCTAAAGCATATAAGGAACAGTTGCTGGAATTGGGTATGTCTAGTTTAATGAAT